CGTCCCTATTTTAATAAGTAGCTGCAGCCAGTGCCAAGATATCTCATTTGCAACGCTGTGGTTTATTAAGCTATCACTTGTGTGACGGCAGAGCTCAACTACTGTAGCTGCAGTGAGGGCTGTGCTCTGCTGGGTGCTCTGCAGACTCCTCTGCTATGGTGACAGTGGCTGACAAACTAATTAAGCAAAGGGTGTGAGACAGAGAGATGCAAGCTGCAAAGAGGGCAAGGAGAAAAGAGCTAAATGCTGTGCCCTAGGCTCTTCCAGACAATGAGCACAAGCCAACTCTGCTACTGCACATTGTCCCCAAATTCCTTTCCTCTGTAACCCAGTGGGATGTTGTTGCCCTGCCATGGAGGTTCCCCCTTCACACAGCTCTAACACAGCCTCAGCTTCTTTCAGCCTTCTGGAACACGGTCATCTACCTAAAGGTCAGCACGAGCAGAAAGCTTTCCTAAAGAGCTGCAGCCTAATAAAAAAATGCATCTAGAATTTGGAGATCACAGCTCTCCTGGTGCAACTCCTCAGGTGTCAGGGTCTTTCAACACATAATGCAATAAGCTTTAAGTGGTTTCTAACATCTAAAAACTACAGCAACACATACGGACCTTTTGCTTGAGAGAAATCAGTACAGATCTGGAGAGCTGATTACAAAGTGAAATACTGCAGGAAAGAAAGGGAAAATCTTTCCCCTTTGTGTTTTCCTTCTTTGATTCAGTAGGGCTCATTATAATCGGTTTTGTTTTAAGGAAGAGCTGCTATTTCAGCAGCTGAAATTCCTTTTGACCTATTAAGTAAACTACAGGGAGTTTTGTTAAGCAGTGCAGCTAACTCACACTGGGAAAGTTCCAAAAGCATGCATTAGTGATACCTAAATGTTTAATTGCTAGCTGTGGAAGTAAAAAGACCTCCCTGCTATTTTAGTATCACCAATAAGCAGCAAATCCACCCTCCTGCCCTAAAAAAAAAGGACTTTGGGTGCAAATAAATGCCCAAGGTCACGTCAGACACAGGAGCAGAGCTGGAAATAAAATCCAGGTCTCTTGATTGCCCGTCCAGAGGTATATTTAAATCTGGAAAAAAATTACCATATGCATATTAGGTCTGCCTGAATAATTGATTGCTTGATTCAGTGCCGAACCAAGGAATGGGGGGAGAAAGGTGGAATTGCCTTACGTTGACCTGAAACAAAAAACATTACCCCTGCAACAAAATATTTCCTTTTGAGCAGATGGAAGCATCTCACATGAGCCAAAATGAATTATAATGTTTCATTTATTTATTTTTAATTGAACAAACTGGCTTTTAGTTCAATTTGCCTCGAGTTGCCTCCAATAAAAGATGACACATCCAGGCTTTTCCAGCCATCCTCCTTCTCAACTGGTTTTGACAGCCTCAACTACTTATTGAGTTCAGTCCAAACTCACAACTTCTTTCATGTGATGACAGAGCTGCACTTTCCAGCTAATAAATAACTGACCTGAATAACGGCACCTGGCTGTAATGTAAATAACCCTCTCTGTTGTGGAAGGTACCAGTAGAAAATACCTTGCCATCTGCACAACTTACAGCAATTACTTTCAAAGTGAAAGCAGTCAAAAATCAGGCTCTGTGCCTTTATAAGCAGGAAATTCATTCCACCTTTATAATCGGGGAATGCTCAGTGTCAGAAAGCTATTATCAGCTCCCTAACCATGCCTGGACACGTGAGTGCTGCGAATCAGCCTTGATCAATTGGTTGGCATGTCCAGGGTGAACCTGTTACAACCAGGCATAGGGCCATCTGACAATCCCAAACACAACTCCAAGTGTATCTAAGCTCACAAAAGCCCTCTAACACCCCCACAGCCCATCCCATTACTGAGAAGGCAGAGGCATGAGGAGTGATTCTTGCTATAAAAGGCATCTCAACAGATGGCCAAACTAACATTTCCTCTCCCTCCAGCCATCCCAAAAAGTTGTTCTGCAGAACTCTCTAATTACATCCAGCCCAATAAAACTACCTTCACAAAACAATACATAGAAGCACATACAATGAAACATCTCCAGTCAGTACCTTGAGCAGAGCAGTCAGGCTGAAAGACCTGTGTGCAAGTGCAGAAGGTAGTGCTGCCCTTTGTTTTCAAAGCAAGTGAATACAGCTGTGCTCTGGGCTGTGTAATTGCATTCTTAATTGTTTAGAGTGCCTTCACTGACAGAAATTTCATCTAATGTGAGTCAGAGTCACAGAATTGTAGGGGTTGGAGGGGACCTCTGGAAATCATCGAGTCTGACCCCTTGCTGCAGCAGGTTCCCTACAGGAGGCTGCACAGAAAAGTGTCCAGGTAGATTTTAAGTATCTCCAGAGAAAGAGACTCCACCACCTCCCTGGGCAGTTTCTGCCAGTCCTCTGTAACCCTCACAGTAAGGAAGTTCCTCATGTTTGTATGGAAGTTCCATACATGTTTCAATATGTGCCCACTGCCCCTTGTCCTGTTACCAGGTGCCATCGAAAAGAGCCTGGCCCCATCTTTTTTATTCCCCACTTTTAGATAACTATAAACATTGATAATATCCCCTCTCAGCCTTCTGTTTTCCCTGGACTGAACAGTTCCCGCTCTCTCAGCCTTTCCCCATATGGGAGATGCTCCAGGCCCTTCATCATCTCTGTGGTCTTCATTGGACTCCCTCCAAGAGATCCCTGTCTTTCTTGATCTGAGGAGCCCAGAACTGGACACAGCACTCCAGATGGCCTTACCACAGCAGAGCAGGGGGGGTGGATCACCTCCTTCAACCGGCTGGCCACACTCTTTGTAATGCACTGCAGGATACCATTGGCCTTCTTGGCCACCAAGGCACACTGCTGTTTCACAGCCAACCTTTATGGTCCTTTTCTGCAAAGCTCCTCTCTGGCAGACCAGCCCCTGCCATGTACAGGTGGTTATTTCTCCCCAGCTGTAGTACTCTGCCCAAGAGCTGCTCCAGCTCAAGGGGAACTCTTCACCTAAGACCCACACTGATCATGCCAAGCTTGGTGCCAGAGCAATTAATCTCATGGCCCTAACCACAGTCCTTGCTTTGCAGAGTGAAAGTTCACACATAGCTGAAGTACTTGTTCCACTGCATGTAATTATTCACTTGTCAGATAAGCTGTGTCTTCAGGTAAGAAGCTGTAATGCCTCCATCCTGTTGGTTCCTACACTATGGAGCTTTGATTGTTTCTGAGGGTCAATCTAGAATTAGAGGCTGGGGGAGGACTGAGTTACTGCAGATCCCCTCTGCCTAATTTCATCAATGCCTGGTGTTGCAACAGAATTAAAATTCTCTAGCTTAGAGTAAACCTGATGCTGTATCTTGTGGAAGCCTGCAGTGAGTCAAAACCTCTGCAGCACACAATGGAGCTTCTAAGTGTACGCAAGGAGTGTGTGTTCAGGCAAATACCAACCTCATGACATCTCCTGGCCCTCTGTCTGCCTGTTGGCTGAGGCTGGTACTTCTGTGTGACCTCAAAACCATGCTGGTCACAGAAGTCAGCATCAAGGTATTGCTCCAGCATTGACCCCACTGACTCATTCAGGTGTCATTCCTGATGGGTCCTCTGTATACCCCACTCTGCAGCATTTTTCCCCTTGCTACACCGTGTTCAGGAAGCAAGGCACAGAACAAGGCAGCTATCTTGTGCTCATTCTGGGTGTGACACACCATCACTATGCTCTATGCTGGGATTTAAGGTCTTCCTGAAGCAGGGATAAGAAACATAGAGAGGACAGAGCAAGGAAGCAGCATGGTGGTGCTGCCTTTGTGCAAAACGAAGGTACTTGTTTCTCCTGCCTCAAGCGAAGCACTCCATGGCTGTAAGTCACTTATAGTAATGCTCCTGTGATGCTATGGAATTGCTAGTGCCAGTTCATCAGGGCGAGGATGATTAGATTAAGCAGCCACTTACATTTGAGGCATTACATTCACTTACATTCAGAGCTTGAAGTAAAGCCCTGCATTGTTCTCCCTCTTCACCTTTCCCACGGAGAAATAGATTTCCACATGGGAGGCACCAGTTCTATTCCCAGTTCTGCTCTACATCACCTCCATGGTCCT